GTCATTGATGTTATTTTGATGGTTTGATCGCACGAGCAAGTTCGTATGATATTTTTGGACTTGCGTGCATGTTTGGCTTGGAGCCCCGAGGGCTCGGGTGGGTTTAGGATAGGCCACTGAGTGAAATTTGGACTTAGGAAATTGCTGGTATGTTGCAGGTCTGCAGGCTTCGCAAGGCTCGCAAATGCGAAAGATGACCTGGGCTGTGCGAAGGGTCCCTCGCAAATGCGAAGGGAACCGGATTCCTTCAGTGTCGCAAATGCGACAAAACCTTCGCATTTGCGAAGTCAACAGTTTCTGAGGTTCGCAATTGCGAACCTCGCAATTGCGACATCAGCAACCTGCTAAATCATAACTTAGACGCATTTTCAGCCATTTTTCAAACCTTTTCAAAACCTAAACACCTTTGGGCGATTTTTCAAAGACAAGTACACTTCCAAATCGATTGTAAGTCATTTCTAACTCATTTTCCTTAATCTTTAACATCTTTCCACATGATTTCAACTCAAAATTAAGGGTTTTCATAGGGGAAATTGGGTGTTTTGGGTAGAACTTAGGTTTTTAAAATTTTGGGGATTTGGACCTCGATTTGAGGTCCGATTTCAAAATAAATCATATGTTTAGGTTCGTGGGTGAATGGGTAATCGGGTTTTGGTTCGAACCTCGGATTTTGACCATGTGTGCCCGGGGTCGATTTTTAATTTTTTGGAAAAAACTTTAGAAAACCTATTTTCATGCATTAGAATTGATTCATTTAGCATTTATTGATATAGTTAAGTAACTTGTGACTAGATACGAGCGAATTGGTGGTGGAATCCAGAGGTAAAGCGGTAGTTGAGGCTTGAATTGTGTTCGTGGCATCGAGGTAAGTGTTTGGTCTAACCTTAGCTTAAGGGATTAAGAGTTGTGTCCTATTTGCTATGTGTTAGTTGTTGAGTACGACGTATAGGCATGGTGACGAGTATCTATATGTTGGTGTCAAGCATGCCCGTGAGTCCTATACTATGATAAATGTGACTCCGTTTATATTGTTCATGCCTTATGTGATGATTTCTATTGTTGAGCAAGGTTTGTGGAAGTAATATTGATATTTGAACATTGAAGAACGCTTGCTCAAGTTGTAAAATGATTTGTGGAAGTATAATTGGCAATTGAACATTAAAAAGCATTGGCCCAAATTGTGAAATGAGCTGTGAAGTAAATGTGAAAAAGAAAAGAGGATTATGATATGTCCCCCTTGTTGGGATGTTGTTGTTTTAATGTTATCTCCCTTGCTGGGATGTTATTGTTTTGATATTGTTTCCCTTGCCGGGATATGATTGTTGTACTATTGTTTCCTTGCCGGGATTTTATTGACTCCCTTGCCCTTATTGCATTGTGATTGTTGTTTGGGTAAGGAAGAGCGTTAAAGCATGAAGGGTGATGCCGTGCGTGATTTGTGTGAGAGAGTGTTAAAGCGCGAAGGATGATGTCGTGTATGATATTTGTGAGAGAGTGTTAATACACGAAGGGTGATGCCGTGTCGCACGATGTACAATTACGTGCCTTGATATGAGTTATAATGCACGAAGGATCAATCCGTGCCATGATTATGTGAGGTAAAAGCATGAAGGGTGATGTCGTGCCGATTTTGATTGATTTTATGGTGAGAATAAGAGTAAAAGAACGAAGGGTGATACCGTGCACTTGTCTGTATTTCTGATTCTTGCTGGAAATTGAACTTTGGTGATCCTCATATTTATCTGTTGTTCTTATGTTATTATTTGATGTTTCCCCGCAGCATGTTTCCCCCTCTCATCCTTAAATGTACATTCATATTTTTATTTTCCGTTGTATATGATTTAACTGCACAAGTTTATTTGGTAGTCTGGTCCTAGCCTCGTCACTGCTTCGCCGAGGTTAGGCTAGGCACTTACCAGCACATGGGGTTGGTTGTGTTGATACTACACTCTGCACTGTGTGCAGATCCCGGTGCAACAGCTTTTGGACTGCAGTGAGGGTGCTGTCTTCAGTCCATTCAGGCGACCCGAGGTAGTCCTGCAGGCGTCCGCACGCCTTGGCATCTCCTCCTATCATTTCATTTCTGTTTTTACTTATTTAGAGACAGATTCGTGTATTTCTATTCAGACTTTATTTGTAGTATTCATAGATGGTCTGTGACTTTGTCACACCAAATTCTGGGTAGAATTGTACTTAGACTTTCGCAATTTGTATTAATTTAAATTATCACATTTCGTCTTCCGCACTATTTTGTTATTGTTATTTCCGATGTTTTGTTATGTTGTTTGGAATTTCTAAGAGATTAAAAAATGAAAATGGTTAAAAATTGGAATAATTGGCTTGCCTGGCTTTCACTAGTAGGCGCCATCACGACTCCAGAGGTTGGAAAATCCGGGTCGTGACACTTTCAGAATATCTTTCTTGTCCTCTATTCCAATTGACTTTTTGTGTCCCGATGGAGATGCATCATCTTTCGGAGCCTCGGACTTGGTTTCAACTTCTTCAAGTATGTATTCAACTTATCAGGCAAAGACATTCTAGAAAGCTCTTCTGGTACTTCAATTATGTTGGTGAACTGAGTGAAAAGATGAAATTAGTTTGACTTAGACATAATATGTATAAAAGTTGTAGATAATTTGTATTAAATTGTCTGCTCATAAGTAAAAACCATTTACCTTGATCCATGCTGGTTTGATCATTCTATCTTCAATTGCATATAACCATATCTTGTCCTTACTAGCTGGCCAGCTAAGTATGCGAGGGATAGAATTAGCAACCCTTGTAGCTATATCAGTGTTGACGGTAGAGCAATAGTCATACAACCATATTTGCATAGCTAGTGCAAATTCTCGAATGAGATAAGAATGAACAGAAGGATTGAGCTTGTGCCTAACAGACTGAAGCAACTGTTTGTAAGAATCAATACCCCATGCATAGTTCGCATACTGTTTCGAGTCCACCAAATAAAATCTAAAATGGTCTACCAACCCTACATTGTTTTTGTCTGAAGGACAGAGGAAGAATTCTATGAGATATAGAATACACAACTTGACTGCATCATCATCGTTCAACCAACTTTTGGTGGTTACAATTTGTTTTTAGTATGACTTCTCAACTTTTTCTTTGTTTGGAAAATAGCTTCTCATTATTTTACTATCATATATAGGTGTATAACCAAAGTCTGTCACTTCCATAAAACATTTTAAACCAGTTATCAATGCAAACTCTCTCAAGCCAAAATCAACCTCTGACCCTTTATCTTTGCTGAAAAATAGTCAGAATCAGATGCATTCAATTCATACTTCATTAGAAGATGAATTTCTTGATTTTGCATACATATTCTGGGCAATGAAAGAAAATAACCAAAATATATCTTCTTGAAAAGTTTTAAACCATTTGCAAACAATAAATCTTTAATTTGGCCAGGAATACTGGGGTCAGATAATGTCTGAAACCTAACGACCCCATAATCAACATTATGAGGTGCAAAAAAAAGTTCATTCTACAGGAAAAGGAAAAATTCCTTATTAAAACAAGGCTCAAACCTAAAAAACAAACTATCTATATTTTTAATACAATATAGCTACAATTACATAACAGAGTCAAAAACAGATAACAATATAACTAAAATTTTATTACCAAACTTCTACAATCTTTAAATAGAGTCAAAACAAGGCAAACATTTATATAAAATGTATCTATAATCATGAATTATAAATCTACACAATGTAGACAAAATTTCTACAAACTACAAAATCAAACATTATATAAGTTCATAAGAATGAGAACAATTTTTTTTAGCTTTTACCAAAAATTTATTTTTGAAACTAATAAATTCTTACCTTCACCAATGACTGTTGGAGAACAGTTTTAGTAGATTTTTGAACTTTCTTCTTTTTGAAGCTTTTACATTAGGAGATACTCTCATTTTTTTTGCAACTTTAATGGCAGCTTTTGTTTCGACGAAATCATCATCGAAATCAATCTCTTTGCCTTTCCTTTTCACAGATTTGATAGGTATCGAAGATTCACCAGCATCAATATCGTGCTTTTGCTTTGTTCGAGCTTCTACCCTAGCTTCACGAGGGGAAAACTTGGGCTTGTTCTCTTCTTTTGCATGAGCTAATTTTGAAGCCTTTTTGGGTGAATTTGCTGAGAAAACACCCGAATCAAATGAAGGAATATCTGCTCCTTTGTCTTTTGTAGGGCTGTTCTTTGAAGATATCTTTTTCTTCATTGAAAATCAAGCTAATCAGAGACTTTAATGGAGGTAGGAAGTTTGAATAAGAGTCCCAATTTCGTCTGGTTTTTGAAGAAGAGATGAAATAGGCGTTAATGAAGGATTTCTGAGATTTGTGAAGAGAAAATCGTGGGTGAGTGCAAGATACGTGAGTGAGGGGGTGGGATGTGGAGAAAGAAACGTGGAAGGAGTGTGAATATACGGTAGAGTTATTTTAGGACAGTAATTAATACCATTAATTCCCTTAAAATGTACATAAATGGTAATTGGGTATATAAAATGTAATATAGTAAAACTTGAGTAGGGAGGGTAATATAGTTTCATATAGTGTATAGGAATGTAAAAATTCTATAAATGAACATTATTGTAGATGATAAATTATCCCAAGCAACTGGGGAAAAACTTCTTTTTTTATATAACCAGTTTATACTTCCTAAGTGACTCCCTAGTCGATATAAAATCACGTCAAACGAGTTGCTGTGCTATATTACTCCATACTCTTTCTTTTTTATTTCAAGTACTTATATGATAGAAATCTACCCTAATCCTTTGTAATTTAACTTAGACTCTCCTTATTCTACACATTTCATATGCTTGCTGAATCTTCCACATACAAGAGTCAGAATAAATAAATAACCAGCGTTAGATAGAGGGACTATAAAATATTTCATTTATCGATTATCACCAACCCTGATCCTACTTAGGTAAAATTGTCACACTGCATCCATTGCGCAATAATTAACCACGAGCCTGCAACAAGTCACACACAAAATGGAGAATACTTGGATATGAATAAAGACGCAAAAGGAAAAAAAGAAACAAGTGCAGCTCAGCTTCAAAAGATTAAATACTAGATTCGTTACTAAAGCTGAGTACAGGGGAAATAGGTACAAACTTAAAAATCATAATGTTGATAATCAGAACATCGAGGATGCCATTTCACCGATTTCTGATACAACTTGATCATAATCTGCTTTCAGTTTCTCTTGATCCTCCTGGCTAAGTTCCCCCTTGGCAGGCTTTGTTTGTACCAAAACGCAGCAAGTTGGCCTCTTGGTGGCTCCGGCATTTGCTAGATCCTGAAACAGAGTTTTAGATCATGACCACATAAAACACCTGAAGTTGTACAAAAACATAGTGCATGGCATAGACAAAGAAAGTGGAGAGCACACATCATAAAGCATTTGTAATATTTACTAAACTACACTCATGACCAACGCAACCACATATTAATATTATGACACAAAAGCCTGAAAAGTCCAGCTTACTTCTTTTGAGGAGACGTAGACATATGGTATCTCAGCTTCTTCACACAGGATGGGAACATGGGTGATGACATCTATAGGAGATATATTTCCAGCTATGACACACACTCTGCATCACCAGAAACAAATGGAGGATGAGAGATATAGAAACTCTGTAATCACCAACAATATATGTTGCTCGTAATTTGTATACAAATGGCAAAGCGCAAGGTTCATAGCATCAGTGTAAGTACAGTATCATCAATCATGAGTGAAAACTGTGCAAACAAAATTCACGTCAAAGTAACTAAATTACATTATAAAGAGCAAAAATTTAGTGTTCAGAAAAGTTAGCCTGCTATATCATGCTATGATTAGACGATGTCAATATAAAAGCACATCATAGCGATAACCCCAACAGTCCAACTCTTTACTCCAACCGCACTCACTTTTAGATTGCACTCAACTCCTAAAGTAAAGTCTATTCCATCAATTCTGGAAGAATGGCACTGAATCTGGTAGGTAATTAATGTAATTATCTGGAGTCTGGACAAGAAAAGGTGGGTTGGTACGACGAAAGTCATTTTTCAGAAAAATATTTTTCACAAGAAAGTCATCTTCTGGGGTTTGGCAACCAGAAAATTTTCAAACTGGAGAAAATGACTTCCCTCACTTATGGGCAGAAGTCACTTTCCACAACAATCTTAAATTCATATTACTTGTTCAAACTAACACTTAGACATTATAATTAATCTCTATGACTAAAAAATTTAATCAAAACACTCTTCTATTTGCTAATATTAATATTCTTTCATACTTATTTTTTCCGATAAATATTTTCAGCTCAGTGACCAAACATAGCAAAACATTTTCCAAGAAACATGAATTTGTCATACCAAGCACACCCAAAGAGGCTGAATTAACTGCCTTGGATTAAAATAGCATAAACTCTTAACTCATTTCCATTCTTCTCCAATAATATATGGTGAACCAACTTGAAGTTACATAACCCAATATTTTTTGTAACATGTCTCTCCCAATATATTATGTAACAAAATATTACCCACTCTCTACTAATATATACTGGATCTACAAATGTAATCAAAATTCTTTTATGAGTAGATAAAATTTCAATTCAAGGCACCGGGATGGAGGGGTTCAATATAGTGACCAAGTCATACTATTTATAAGCATATCTCACTATGACAGCCTGGTGCACGAAACATACCGCATTTACATAGGGCATAAAACTATAAGCACGACATACAGCAAATAATACCATCAACATACAGATTATACCTTAAAATGAAATACCCCCACCCCC